GCGACAGAATTCCGTACCCCAAAACATCCATTCAGAAGCCCCCACAGGTCATCAGTTCAGAGATACGCATAAATGTTAGCTCTAGAATTATTGCTCTCAGTCCGGCGTGCGCGACGATACCCAACATGTGTAGCGCAATCGTCGTTTTCATACATTTGCATTTCAGTGTTTTCAAGACCAGAGAAAATGAGACAAACCGTATTTGTTTTTGTCTGGACCGGAACGGACTGCGCTGGTGTGAACAGAGCCCAGAAATACCATAGCGATACATTGTAACCCCTCTGTTGTTCCTGAATAATTAGGCTCGACTAAGGGCTCAGTCACACCTCATCCAGTGCGTTCCTCCATGGTTCGAGCCCAAAACGCACTGGATCGCATGGATCAAGCAGGACCCAGGGCCGCGCTCTGGAGCGTGGCGGTACTATTCATGTGAATGGCACCACAGACGCACTTTAGTGCAATCGCATTTAGTGCGATTGCCCTCATCAGAACGTGAGGTACAGGAATGCCCTCCGTTCTGGTGCAGTGCGATCGGAAAATGATTGCAGCATTTATTCTGATCACACTGCACTGGAACGCAGGGCATTCCTGTACCTCACGTTCCAATGAGGGCAATCGCACTGTGGCCGGTGGGCGTCTCTGCGGTGCCATTGACATGAATGACACTGCCATACACCCTCCCGCCCCAGAACGTGTCTTGGCTTGATCTATGTGATCCAGTGCGTTTTGGGCTTGAACCATGCCGGAACGCACTGGATATGGTGTGACAGGGCCCTAAGGGCTTAATTTTGTGGGCCGTTAGAAAAGTCTGCACTGGCTTGATTGGTGTTTTTCCCTCCTCCTCCAACAAGAATCAGCTGCACAGAGCATCTATGCCAGGGAAATGAAAAGTGTTTGCTTGGGCCTGGTCTGGTCTGGCTCATCCCAACTCACTATAAGGCTGGGTTCACACCTAGGTGTATTGAATATGCGCGTTTCGTGTCGCGCGTTTTTACTGCGATTCACGGTAAAAAAACGCGCAACAAACGCGTGTTTCCGAGTGCTACTTGGCTGTATCCCAATGGAAACGCGAGACCAAAACGCCCCAAAGAAGTACATATACTTCTTTGGGCGTAGGCCGTTTTGTAGCGCGTTCAGACGGGCTGAAATACGGAAAGGTGTGAACCATACCCATAGAAAACAATGGGATTTTCAAGTTTGTACGTTTTGTAAAGCGTTCATAGAGCGTTGAACGCGCGACAAAACGTAAAGGTGTGAACAGGGCCTAACAGAAGGAACAATTGGTGGCTGTCAGTGGGTTTTTTTTTCCAATTTTGGCCATCACGGGGTTATCTAATGCGGCATTAAAGGGATTCTGTGTCCTACATGCCGATAATGGCTCATTGTTTGTGGTTTAGTAATGAGTTTGAAAAAGTTCATTTTTCTTGTCTGGGAGATTTGTAGGATAGTAATATCTTTATGTGAACTCAACACTCTGCAATATAACTTTTACTTCAGGTTAGCGGTGCACACTGGATCTAAAGTTACTGTACAATAATATATTTGTGTGTTTTGTAACTTGGCCACTAGATGGCACCATTGCTGACCGATGGACCTGAGAACATAAAGCTATGTATGTGTTTGGGTTATTAAACGTTTTCTAGAGAGATTTCTCTGTGGTTGCCATTAGCCCTAAATTGAAGTACGTCCCAACGTGGGTGTAATATCTAGAGCTCAGACTTGTTGAATAACTGAATACATGGACTCACTCGAAGTAATTTCCCTGTTCTGTAGCCTTCAGATGTATCTCTTTTGGCAGACGACCCCCCCGATAATTTTTTGCACTGGAAATCAGTCATCCTTGCACTAATGAAACTTATGATAAAGAAATTAGGCCTATTAGGCACAGATTCGTGTTGCAGATTAGTAAAATGGCTTTTGAAAACTACACAGCTCTCCCTGGCAGTCAAGAGCAAGCATTTCTCTATTTCCCATCTTGGGGCTAGACTGGCTCTGCTTGCAGTATCGGCTGTGCTGCTTTCTCTCAACATAAGTGCAGTGCATTCAGGCTGTGCTACGCTGATTGATTTTTTTTTCCCTATATCCTCTGATCTTTGCTTGTTGCTGCCAGCTGAGACCCTGCTGTTACTCTACTGGCTGTGTCCACAGAGTCCATACTCATGCCTTCTGACGATGCCCAGCATTGAAAAGGCTAAATGAGGACATGACTTGCTCTATTAGATGTCTGACATATATTTATTTTAACTAGGCAATGACCTTCCAGATTTGAGCATCACTGTTATTTAGCAGTAAAGACATTTACAGAAGAACTCCAAGTATATTAGAAAAGAAGGCTACTGTGTAAAAAAATGAGGTGCTGAAATCAGACACCACAGCTGGTAAAGTTTTTACTTCTTTCCATGGGTCGGTCCCCTGTCCTATGCTGCTGTGTCCCTGATTACTTGTAGTGTGCTTTTTTTTTTTGCTAGGCAGTAAGCAGCCTGAGCTCTCTTTACCTTTTTCTAGGCTCTGCAAGGCTTCCCGGAGCTCAGTGGGTTGATTGCTTCTGTCTGACACTGTTAGGCCCCATTCACACCAGAACAGTTGGCATCCGTTTTTTTTGATTATCAGATGCCAACGCAAGGACATCGGAAAATGAATGGGAGTAGTTAACAGCAGTGCATTGTGTTGCGCTGCCCTCCACTGAAAAAAAACAAAGTAGAGCAGGCTACTTTTTTTTCATCTCAACGCAACAGAAGCAGTGGTGTGAACTGCTAATGCGTTTTAACGCAAGGCAGACCCAATACCTTGTATATCTTTGTGTAAAGATCAAACCAAAAAATAAACACCCAAAGAAGACAACACAACTTAATGGATGTCAACAGACTATGCAAATGCAAGTCAAAGTTCTTGATTCCGGTGTTAATGCACCCTTAAGGAGGTTCCGGTAATAGGAGTTTGAAGAACAATCACTGAGTTATAAACATGTATTTGACCAACCAATCCCTGAGGTTCTTGTTCAAAGGTATGGTTTGGGGCGATGATAAATGTAGGGGGCACAATTGCAGAGGGTTTTGCTACTCTGGGCTTTTGCCATGAGAGGATGCATGTCTAGAAGGATCTTTACATGGGCCTTGCCTCAGCTTCGGGCATGTGTTAGAGGACCAAGGACTTTAGCTGGCTTCTGAAGTGAATATCTGGAGGTAACTAGGCTTGCAAAGCATCTTCTTGCTGAAGAGTGTGGCAGATGGAGTGGAGTAGAAGCTAATGCATTGTAAAAGAAGGAAGGATTCATCACCCACAGAACTAAAGTGACCCTAAACGCAGGAGTTAAAGCAGACCTTTACATTCAAAAATCAACTTCTACCATCTGTTGTACAGCATGGCTAACATAACCGAATAGGAAAAGCCTCTGCTGCATTATGTTTTTGTGGCTCAGACCTACCCGCCTATGACATGCTAGATGCATTAGATTTCCTTTCTTCAGGCTTTTCCCTTTATTTTGTGCCTGGTGATCATGCCAGTAACACACTTTCTATCCTACAGTGACAATGATGGCTGTACTGTATCTGTAGCCTTGTCACCCCAGGACAGAAAATATCAGGTGTTCTGTAGACCCAACCCGCTTTTTGATAACATTGCCATATTCCTGCCCATTGCACAGGACAGCACAGGATTTCTGGCAGGATCAGCAGGTATTTTTCATGCATTTATAGAACATATAACATATCACTTTCAGGCCAAAAGGGAGCAAATAACAAACCTTATGGTTTACATATACTTTTAGACTGACTATTCATATTTTTGCATGAGCCCATTTGTAACTGGTTCCCTTTAAACCGGATCTTAATTCTAGACAATTGCTAAACTGCCTGGTTATACCATTGGGGTTTTCATGGGCGTACATAGACATCGCAGAGGTAGTGAATGTTGGCAGGCATTGCTGAATGCAGACACGGTAGACTCGCTACACTTTCAGCATTGTGTTAGAGCGTTTTATCAGTAGATGGTATCGTAGCAATTTGCTAGCATTGTCTCGTACTGACTGATCGGGAGACAAAAGGGAGTTTAACACATAAAAGAAGAGAAGAATCTGTAAAGATGTGGGTCTGGAGTCATTATCAATGTAGGCAGAAGATGGCTAATATGTCATTTAAGGTCAATGCTGCTGGAAGTTAGTAAGATGTAAGTTACTAGTGTACAATCGTCTCCCTTCTATGAAGTTCTTGTACTCTGCAGCAGAAACGTGGCATAGGGCGTTTTTGTGATCGGCGTTTTTGTGTAAGCATTTCTTTACCTCTTCTATGTTAAAGTAGTATTAAACCCTCCGATCAAACAAATATACATTGCCCAGCAAAGTATTTCTTTAAATTTCTGCCCAACACTTAGTCATCGTGTTTTCAGACAGCTGCCTCCAACTCTCACAGCTCAGATTCTCTGAACTTCCTGTTCAGTACAAGACCATAAGGGACAGCGCAGTCTCCAGCAGCCGTCCATCTGCTAGCTTGGAGAAGAGAGTGGCTTTCCATGCTGTATTTGTGGAGACGCAAACAATTGATCACACACACAAGGTTGGCTCCATAGGACCCTACAAGGGAAAGGAGGCCCCCTAAAACAGGATATCACGGCCAGTGCTCCCTAGGGGACCAGCTGATTCTACAGGAAACGAAAGCTTTTAAACATCAAGGAGCAGAATCCATTGTATCATAACAGGAATCGGTTGGAATTCCTCCAATGCGGAAGATTTCCCTTCCTGTCCTGGAGAGACAAATGGATGTGGGAGGGAAATGAAGGGTGTCCCTTTTGGAAACTTTACATGACCTCTTGTTCTGGTGACAACTTTAAATTGTGTATTTCTTATTAATCTCCATGTCCCTTAAGGGGTCACCAGGCCAGCAAGAGAGGTTTAGTCTACCTAAGCTCTCCCCTAGATATATTCTGTGTTGCTCAAATCCATAACCATCAAAGCGCCACATACAGTATATGAATCTGTCTTAATGGGCAGTTATGTGTACTGGCACCTTTTCCCTATTCCCCCAGTGAGCCTTAGGCCTTGTACAAACCAAATGCAGAGCAGATCTGCATGAGCTTCTGCACACGCAGTGCAGTGGGTTGTGCCACGTTTTTCATGCGTTCCGGGCCTTTTTTTTTTTTAGTTTAAAATGGGCTTTCAGTGCGTTCCAGGGCGTTTGCATGCGTTCAAGAGCAGGTCCAGACCAGGTAAAATAGGGCCTGCTGCAGTTTTTTTAATCTGCTCTGGAACGGAACACTGCGATGTGAACTGGAGCTAAAAATACAATTGGAATACATTGGACGCAGTTTTGCTCGGGTCTGTAACTGCTCTGCTCCGCTCCTGGAATGCGCTTGGCCTTAAGCTGGCCATATACTTTTAGATTATCTGCAGATTTTCTATGGTCAGCTGAAAACAGATTCCTCCATCTACGCAAAACTGTGTGTATGTAGGAAGCTCCCACTGGGCCAAGCTTCAGTATCTTGCTAGTCGGCCCCGCTGGCTGTCAAAATACCTGAACAGTGCCTGCATCCAATCAGATTATTCAGGTATTTTGACAGTGTGTGTGGCCAGCTTTAGTTTGCATTTCTGTTGATTTCTTTAGATATTTTAGGCTTGTATATGACAAAATTGTTAACTCTTCCTAACGTGAGCCAAAACCTTATTTTTGGTTTTAGAGTTCCACTCCAGTAATATGTTCATTTTTTTTTTTTTTTTTTTTTAGATTTTTATTAAAGAATATAAAATCTGCAACACAAACAATATTGGTTACATCCGACAACTGATACAACATTTGGAAGTTCAGGGACATAGAGGCACATACAGTATTGTCTAGCAGAGCAGATACATTTTTGGATCTCGCAACCATAAAAGTAAAAATAATAAAACCTGGAAATTCAAGAGAGCCATAGAATCGGAATCGGGGATATTATTCAAAGCATATAGAAAATGTAATTGAATTTTTATAGTGGAAAATCCATGTTGGGGAATTGGAAGTAAGAACATCCTCCCCTCACTGGAACAGGTCTATAGGGTATGATATTAAAGTGCTATAAACAGATATTTTGCTGCCAGAGTCCTAAAGAAGCAGAAGTCCATAAGTGATTGAACCCACTTTATTCTTCATGTAACTGAAGTATCTGTGTGAATGGATTGACCTTATAAAGGAAATAATGAATTTCTGCCCAGCAGCTGATGTCCGATGTTGAAGACGGATAAAATGATTTAGGGGTTTTGGGTAGAGCAAGAGTTTTCTTCTCTAGCTTTGCTTTCCTAAAATGTGAAAAGCTAATGATGACAATGGAGCTTCATTTTGAAACTTTTTGAAGTAAGCTCAGTTCATCCCATGTTTAGGAAAAACGCTACTGAACAAGGCAGGTAGGAATCTGAATGTGGTCCCTCAGCAATAACATCCTGAAGACATCACTAGAACGCCTCTGCAGAAGGCCTGGTCAGCAGTTTCTGCACAGAGAATAATTGTTGTCAGGTGTTTGCCTTTTACATGGGTTCAGAGTCACTAGAGTCTCATCAGTAGCCATCCTCCCTCTCAGAAAAGATAACTTAGCACAATTTTTCAGGCAGAATTCCCTTGAATGGCCCAATTCTGTCGAAGTTAATTTGAGCTTGGTTACCCCAGGCAACATTTTCTTTGCCTTCATCTGCAAGTCTTTTAAATAATCTTAGGAGAAGGTAGGGAGGGCCAGCCCGGCAATCTTCTTTTAATATATGGGATTTTTCGACAGCTAATCAGCAAAGACATGTTCTTGTGTCTCCTTTTTTTTTTCACGTGTGTGCTTTCAACTGCAATGTTGACAGAACATTAAGTTCTCATGGACATTCTATCTATTAAAACGCATAAAAGATAGAGGGAGCTGGGGCTACTTGTCAGAGGAGGCTATATATATATATATATATATGGATAGTAAGATAAGACTTAATATAATTTAATGGAAAGTTTTGGTTAATGCCATCTTTTTGAATGGCACAAAAAATGCCAGAACTGGCACACTATGATGTACTGTGTATGTCAATTAAAGCTGTAACAAGATATAGATAAATTATACACCATAAAGCTTTATTGATATACAGCGTTGGACCCATTCCAGCAGATCTGCTCCTCATGATGACCTCTTTTTGACAATATGACCTGCTATGAAGCAGCATTTCCGAATCTAGTCCAAGGACAATACTGCGTGTTTTAAAGGCACCCTTACATATGTACGTGTGGACTAATTTAGAGCCACAGCTCTGATTTAAAGTGACATTTAGGGCAAAAGGCCCCCCCACAGTGCTAATGTAAGGACTTACCTTAAATGATGTCTCTTAATCCGATCTTCTTTCCTGTAGTTTTTAGCTGTCCCTCCAGCGCTGGTGCCGGTCTCCAAACCAGCGCTGACTCCTCTGTCCTCTTCGCTCATGTCCCTCGGAGTCGGTGCGGGTGCACGCTGCTCCATAGACTTACCTTGTGTCTCTACTCATCTCCCGGTCGAACATCTGAACTGCGCATGCCCCAAGATCCTTTGCGGCCGCCTGAGAAATTTTCAGATGTTCAGATGGGAGCGTGCGACGGAGACACAGGTAAGTATTAACCCTTTGAAAAGTTTAAAAAAAAAATGGTTTTGCATATCTCTACTGCTTGCTAGCAGTAGAGATATGCAAAAACATGAAAGGTTTTAATAACCCTTCAACTTATAAATGTTGGTGGACATAAAGTGAACCTGTTGCCAGACTATAGACATTTAAGCATTTATACATTCTTAAGTAGTAACAAGTAGGAGATTTAAAGTAAACTTGTGACCAAACTTTGAACGTTCAAGTATTTACATATGGGGGAAGCAGGGTGAGCTGAACTGCTAAGAGAACAGCTTTGAGGATTAATTTTTCCACAGTGCCTGCGGCTATGGGAATCAGTTATAGCTTGTGTTAAAGCTGATTTACTGCTTGCTAGGACTATGTAAATGCTTGAATGTCTATAGTCTGGTCACAGGTTCACTTCAAGGACAAACTGGGGGAAAACGCTGTAACAAAGCTAAAAAAAAAAATGTGCACCTCATTCAGATCTGTGCCTTGTGATTTTTATATGCAAGTAATATTAGGTAACACACTGTAATGATGATCTGCAGTGAGGTGCCATTCTTTTTAATGGCGCAGCAACGTATCTTAAAAACGCACCAAAACACGGATTTATCAAAACCGGAGCAGACAAACTGGAGCAGTTGCACATGTTAACCAATCGGCTTCTCTCTTCAGTTTGTTCAGTTAAGATTTGAAATGAAAGAGAGAAGCTGATTTGTTGTTGTGCGCAGCTGCTCCAGATTTTGTCTGCTCAAGTTCTGATACATTCCCCTCAATGAATCTTTTCTGTATTGTGGTGTGAGGCAGTGCACCATGTATGCAATCTGCAACATCGTTTGCTCAAATCTGTGCAGTGCCTATGATAACCTTAAAGAATATTGCTTTTTTTTTTTTTTTTGCACGGCAAAAGCAGAGTTTGCCTTTGGGATTCCATCAGGGTAGGGGGCGGTAAATCATTAAGTGAACTCAAAAACATATTTTAATGCATGGTAAAATATTAAGTAATTAATTTAGAGCTAGTTTAGGGGTTTAGATTAAGATGACTGGGTCAATAGCGGTCAGGTTTAGAGTAAAGATTAGGGTAACAGTAAAAGCGTTAAAGTAGAACACCAGCCAAAATGTTTTGTTTGTTTTGGCCAAAATTGGGAAGGGTTAGAACTTCTGTTGTGTTTTTATTTCTGGATATAAAGAAATTCTGCGCTATGGAAGCTGTCTCAAAGTGATAAATATCAAATATAAAAGATAAAAAGCTGCCGTGCTAATAATATAAATAAATAAGATCAAACAGATGCACCACGCTAATCAATAATCATAATAAGTGAATAATAACGTGCTAGATAACAAATAAATCACATAACCAATATAGTTCATAAATACTCATACACTTGTGCTCATACGTTTACATACCCTGGCAGAATTTATGATTTCCTGGCCATTTTTAAGGGAATATGAATGATAACACGAAAACCTTTCTGTCACTCATGGGTTGTGTTTGGCTGAAGCTATTTATTATCAATCAACTGTGTTTACTCTTTTTCAATCATAATGACAACAGAAACTACCCAAATGGCCCTTATCAAACGTTTACATACCGCAATTCTTAACACTGTGTGTTGCCCCCTTTAACATCAATGACAGCTTGAAGTCTTTTGTGGTATGTGTGGATGAGGCTCTTTATCTTCTCAGATGGTAAAGCTGCCCATTCTTCCTGGCAAAAAGCCTCCAGGTCCTGTAAATTCTTGGGCTGTCTTGCATGAAATGCACGTTTGAGATCTCCCCAGAGTGGCTCAATGATATTGAGGTCAGGAGACTGAGATGGCCACTCCAGAACCTTCACTTTATTCTGCTGTAGCCAATGACAGGTCGACTTGGCCTTGTGTTTTAGGATCATTGTCATGTTGGAATGTCCAAGTACGTCCCATGCGCAGCTTCCGGGCTGATGCATGCAAATTGTCCTCCAGTATCTTTTGATGACATACTGCATTCATCGTGCCATCAATTCTGACCAACTTTCCTGTGCCTTTTGTAGCTGACACATGCCCAAAACATCAGCGATCCACCTCCGTGTTTCCCAGTAGGAAGGGTGTACTTTTCATCATAGGCCTTGTTCACTCCTCTCCAAATGTAGCGTTTATGGTTGTGGCCGAAAAGCTCAATTTTGGTCTCATCACTCTAAATGACTTTGTGCCAGAAGGTTTGAGGCTTGTCGCTGTGCTGTTTGGCGTATTGTAAGCGAGATACTTTGTGCCATTTGCGTAGTAATGGCTTTCTTCTGGCGACTCCACCATGCAGCCCATCTTTCTTCAAGTGCTTCCTTATTGTGCATCTTGCAACAGCCACACCACATGTTTTCAGAGTGTCCTGTATTTCACCTGAAGTTATTTGTGGGTTTTTCTTTGCATCCCAAACAATTTTCCTGGCAGTTGTGGCTGACAGTTTAGTTGGTCTACCTGACCGTGGTTTGGTTTCAACAGAACCCCTCATGTTCCACTTCTTGATTAGAGTTTGAACACTGCTGATTGGCATTCTCAATTCCTTGGATATCTTTTTATATCCCTTTCCTGTTCTATACAGTTCAACTACCTTTCACCGCAGGTCCTTTGACAATTCTTTTGCTTTCCCCATCACTCATAATTTCAGACACGTCAGTGCAGCACTGGATGAAGGATGCAAGGGTCTGTCAGGAGGCCAGAAACTCATTGGCCTTTTATACACACACACTGATTACATGCAAACAGATCATAGGTGAGGATGGTTCCCTTTAATAGCCATTCACACCCCTTTGTGTCAACCTGTGTGCATGTTATCAGGCCAAAATCACCAGGGTATGTAAACTTTTGATCAGGTTCAATTGGGTAGTTTCTGTTGTCATTATGATTGGAAAAGAGTAAACACAGTTGATTGATAATAAATGGCTTCAGCCAAACACTACCCATGAGTGACAGGTTTTCGTGTTATCATTCATATTATCTGAAAATAAATTATATGAAAAATGGCCAGGAAATCATAAATTCTGCCAGGGTGTGTAAACTTATGAGCACAACTGTAAATAATAAAACTTGTCTCTCATTGTAATATCTCCAGTAGAGATTATGTGCAAAATGATAGTGTTTTTATTTCTGCCTTTGTCCCCATTGGGGAGACTTCTCCTTACTTGCTTTCCTAGAGACAGTAGGAAGTGGACAGAATCTCCCAAAGGAAGGTGAAAAGCCCCCTTTTGAAAGTTGTCACTGGAGTAGGTGTTCTCTAAATTCATACCACAATGTAGGCCTTGCCCCACTAGTCTCCTGTAATGAACACAAGATGGAAGCAGAGATCTCACCGATGAGGAGACAAAGAGCCATAACCAACTTGACCGAAGCTGAGAGTTCTTCCGAAACTAAACATTTTGGCTTGAACTCCACCTTAAGCAATAGGGGAGGTCGTAAAATACATTATAGTGCGATTTGGTGAAGTCACTACTTTGATGCTCACTGGTTTAACTCCTCCAGAGGAAGCTGTACCTGACAACCTGCAGTGCAATGATCTCCCTGCTGTTGTCATTATTAAGATCTTTGCTTTCTGCGTGTCTCATGCTGCTTTGTGATATTCCTCCATCAGTCAAAAAGGTGGCAGCTTTGAAACGCTGAAGCAGAACCCTGCCTCTACCAAGATGTCTGCCTCCACACAGAGACTCAGTGTGGAACAACAAGGCATGTCAGTCCGGGGGAAAAGATCAACTGAAGGTAGTCTACAGGCAATACTACTTTTGCGTACTACTAACACAGTTCAGATTCTCTCTTTTTACGTTTTTTTGAGGTTTGGGTGAGGGGAAAATTAAATGTTAAAGGAGAACTATGAGGTGAGTGAAAATCACTCATCCACATAGTTCGAGCCGACGTGTGACAATGAGCGAACACATATCGTCGCTCGCTCACTTCTCGATCATCCCCTGCAGAGAGCAGTGACTGTCAGTCACCGCTCCCTGCAGGGATTCCCCCCTGTTTGATCCTCCAGCGCTGACTGGAGGAATAGACTGGGAGGGGGCGGGTACAGATAGATAGATAGGCAGAACCCGCTGTCACTCACGTAGCTGGGTGGATCTCGACAGTAATGTCGGGATCTATCCCGGCTGCGGTGGTCTCGGTATACCGCGAGCTTAAGAGCTTCCGTGACCCTTAAGAGAACTATGGGGAAAAACACTTTATCCATAGTTCTCTTTAAAGGATAAGTTGGGTTCAGGTGTTACACCATTTGAGTAGACCATATGGTTTCATCTCTGAAAGACCCATAGCAGATAGCTGTACTTTGTATATTTAACTCTGGACAGCTAGTAGTGACATTTGTGCATCAACATATGACATGTTAGACGTATTGGTCGTGAAACATTTCCTTTGACAATGGTACACATAATGGAATTAACCAGGTACATGATGCTGACTTTCTGCTGCTTTTTATTACTTTGAGCTGAAGTTTATATAAATCTTAGCAGTTTTCTCCCTGCATGTATTTGGAAACAGGGAAACCACTGGAGAGAAAGGTAGTCACCAGATTCCACTTGTAACTGAAATAGTTTTAGATGGCCTGAGCCTTGCATACAGTTCCTCAAAAATATCTGCAGTAAAGCACATTCTAAATTCTGAACTTGTTCAGTGATCACTGTTCGTCTGTAAAAAAACATTTCCCTAATGTGTTGTGATGTAG